CTCCACGGCTTCTCAAAGGTCAGCCGACACGGACGGTAGCTTCGGTGACTCAGCTTCCCGTGATGTGTTGGACGCATGGGGAGCTGGTGACAACAGCCTGTGTGTGTGACAATGTCAAGAACTACATACAAAGAGACACAGCTGTCCCCCAAAATGAGTCTGCACAGCCCGGTGCAATGCGGCTGCAGCCTGTCATCGAGTCAATTGCATTGTCATCTGCCGCTCTCCTGATGTAGGTTCTGTGTTTGTCCATTTTGCACTGCTATGAAGGAATACCTGAGGCTGGGTAAGTTGGCAGGCGCCTGTAGTTGCAGCTACTTGGGAGGCTGAGGCAGGAGAATGGCATGAACCCGGAAGGCGGAGCTTGCAGTGAGCTGAGATCGCACCACTGCAATCCAGCCTGGGCAACAGAGTGAGACTCCATCTCAAAAAAAAAAAGAAAGAAAAGAGGTGCTGGTCGCAGTGACTCATGCCTGTAAGCCCAACACTTTGGGAAGCTGAGGCGGGTGGATCACCTAAGGTCAGGAGTTCAAGACCAGCCTGGCCAACATGGCAAAACCCCATCTCTACTAAAAATACAAAATTAGCCAGGTGTGGGGTGCACGCCTGTGATCCCAGCTACTTGGGAGGCTGAGGCAGGAGAATCCCTTAAACCTGGGAGGCAGAGATTGCGATGAGCCGAGATTGCGCCAATTGCCCTCCAGCCTGGGCGACAAGAGCGGAAACTCCATCTCAAAAGTAAATAAGAAAGAAAAGAGGTTTGCTTGACTCACAGTTCAGATCAGGGTTCGGAGGGTGCTGCTCTCCCTGGTCATACTGTATAAGAAGAGGCTTCTGGGGAGGGCTTAGGAAGCTTTTACTCATAGCAGAAGGCAAAGTGGGAGCCGGCGCATCTGTCACATGGTAAGAGCCAGAGCAAGAGAGGGGCGGAGACGCCAGGCTCTTTTTAACAGCCAGCTCTCATGTGAACTAATGGACTGAGAACTCACTCATCACCTAGGGGAGGGCACCAAGCCACTCATGAGTAATCCCCCGCATGACCCAGACACCTCCCACCAGGTCCCACCGCCACCATTGGGCCACATTTCCACGAGATGTGCAGGGAGCTCACCTCCAAATAGCATCAGATATAGTACTAGTTCTTTTTTTCTTTTCTTTTTTCTTTTTTTTGAGACAGTCTTGCTCTGTCGCCCAGGCTGGAGTGCGGTCTCAGCTCACTGCAACTTCCACCTCCTGGGTTCAAGCAATTCTCCTGCCTCAGCCTGCCAAGTAGCTGGGATTACAGGTGCCTGCCACCGTGTCCGGGTAGTTTTTTGTATTTTTAGTAGAGATGGGGTTTTACCATGTTGACCAGGCTGGTTTTCAACTCCTGACCTCGAGTGATCCACCCACCTCAGCCTCCCAAAGTGCTGGGATTACAGGTGTGAGCCACCGCACCCAGCCAGATGTAGTACTAGTTCTATAGGATGGTCCAGGTTGGGGCACAGATTTTTGCATGAACATTAGTTTTCACCCAAGAGTGACACGCTCAGTCACATGGCAGATTTACTTATAACTTTTTTTTTTTCCCCGAGATAGAGTTTTTGCTCTTGTTGCCCAGGCTGGAGTGCAATGGCGTGATCTTGGTTCACTGCAACCTCCGCCTCCCAGGTTCAAGTGATTCTCTTGCCTCAGTCTCCCGAGTAGCTGGGATTACAGGCGCCCGCCACCACACCTGGCTAATTTTGTATTAGCCAGAGATGGGGGAGAGACAGGGTTTCTCCCTGTTGGTCAGGCTGGTCCCGACCTCTGGTGATCCGCGCGCCTCAGTCTCCCAAAGTGCTGGCATTACAGGCATGAGCCACCGCGCCCAGCCCTACTTACAACTTTTTAAAAAACTGCCAAGCCAATTTCCAGAATGGCAGCACCACTTTGCCTTACCACTGGCGATGTCCCAAGCTGTTCCGCGGCCTCAGTGATACTTGGCACTTGTTAGTAGTTTTTACCTGAGCCACCTGGCAAGTGTGCAGTGGCACCCACCGCGATGCTGGCCAGCCCTTCCTTGACAGCCATCCCTTTCCGAGCCTGTTGCCATCCCTGTGCCCTCTTCGGTCAAATGTCTGTTGCGGCTCTTGCCAATTTTCTAACTGGAATGTTTGTTTTCTTACGGTGGAGTTTAGAGATTTTTGTACATCTCCACCCACACAACCCTGAACGTCCACTCTGGCACCAGGCAGCTGCTGCCCATCTGGCTCCCCGCCCTCTGTTCCGCGCGCCCCTCCAGCTCGGGGGTCCCCTCGCCTCGGCTCTCTGCACCCCTGCTCAAAAGGGTCAAAGAACCCTCCCCCGGCCGTTTGTTTATCCCGGAGAGTGACAGTTTTATCTTTTCGGGTCGTAAACAGAACTGAGGGAGAAACTGGCTGAACAAGAGGAAAATGAGGAAGGAATCCATGAAGGGGCTTTTGGGAACCTGTATTATCCTCCTCGGGCTCCGGGGAGGCCCTGGAAATCAGAACGAGAGCGCTGGGACCCCCCCGAGGGGAGCGGGAGGTCGCGCGTCTTGCAGCGGTTCCCGGCGGCCATCGCTGCGGACACATCCCGAGGAGGGAACCCAAGAGGGCGGCGGGGTGGACTCGCAAGCTGAACGTGGAAGCGACTCCAGCCGAGAACCCCGGGGCCTGGAGTGCACGGAGGCGGGGGGGAGCGTGGGGACGGCGCCGTCAGCTCCCGAAGCCCGGCCATGGGCGCGCGGGCGAAGGCCTGGCCCCCGTCGGGAAGGAGGCTCCGAGGCGCCGGCTTCTGCGCCCCACGCAGCGCCGCTCCCAGCGCCCGGGCGCTCTGCAGGCGCGGGCGGGACCCGGGCCAGCGAGAACGCGAAAGCCGCGCGCGGGCGCAGCCCAGGAGGGGAGGAGCGGGGCGGGGAAAGGCCTGCTTTTGCATCCCGGCCCCGCCCCCACTTGGCCACCGAGGCGTGCAGTCCTCCCGAGGCCCAGAGCGTCCCGGAAGTGCGCGCCGACTGGGCGGAGTGGGGCGGGGCTGGGCACTTCCGTCCGGCGCGCGGCGGCCTCCTCCCGCTCGGAAGGTGAGTGGGTGCGGGCGGCGGCGGTGGTGGCGGCGGCTCCTGGCGCCTGGGACCAGCCCAGTCCGACCTCGTGCGCCGTACTCCGCGGTGCAGCCCTGCCCAGCCGGGCCGTGCGGCCCCTGCAGCCGCCGCTCGCCGTGACCTTGGCCTCGGGCCAGGCCCCGGGAGCAGGGTGGGCTCCTGGGAGTCGCGGGGCAGCAGCGGACCGCCCCGCCCAGTGGCCCTGGCGATCGCGGGTGTCCGTTCGCAGGGCGCCTTTTCCAAGCACCCGGTGACGGCCGCTGTCGTCATCCCCACTTTGCAGATGGGAAACTGAGGCCCGGAGGTCCCGCCGCTCGGGAGCGTGGAGCCGCCGGACCCCAGCGCCGCACCGCCGGGCAGATGCTCTCTGTGCCGAGCTCCCGGCGATCGGGTCCGCTCCCACGGGGCTGGTAACAGAGGGGCAGAGGATGCTTCCCCCGAGCCACTGGCAGGAGTGCCCCTCCCCCTTCAGCCTGGCGCTCAAGAGTTTGTGCGTCCCTGAGGGTGAAGGGGCGTCCCACCCTGTGACGGCCGCCTCCGCTCAATCCTGGGGGCCACGCCAGGGTCGGGGTGAACGAGTAGGCCCTTTTACCAGATGTCCCCAGTAAGTTGACTAAGTAACTTGAGATGTGACTTTAAGGTGGAGGACCTGCACCCAGTGGCCACCTACCTGGCGACCCGACCCTTCCCATCATTAGTGGATGGAGGCTGGCCCAGAAGGCCGGGAACTGGGGTGGCCGCCGTGTGGGAGCTGTCTCTCCTACTTCCTCGAAGTAGGCACTGCTGTCCTTATATCTGAGTCTCCGTTAACTTTTGTCTATTTTTCCCGTTCCTTTCTTCACTCCCTGCCCCAGATTAGGAGTTCCTACTCTATCACAGTAGGAAAGAAAAGTCACTTCTCACATTGGACTCATACCATTTTTGCAAAGCAAACTAAGAAGTATCTTGGAGCCCTGAGTGAGTCTCCAAGTGCTGCGGCAGGGCTGGACTAGGAGATTCCAGCCTGCAGCCTCTGACAGCTCTGTAGGGTCTGAGGAAGAGGGTTCCCCTCTCTGGAATGCCTCTCTTTTGCTGTTCAGGAAAAGCCTTGTTAAGATTTCCTCCAAAACACTCGTGCACCAGCAAGCGTGGTTGGGTTTTCAGCCTTCCCGCAGGGCCAGCAGCTGAGGTTTTTCTGAAAGACTCTCTATGCCTTTCTCTAGGGGAGGGATGATGCCACGGGTTGGAAGGAAATGCCAGAGCCTCCGCTGGGACAGGAGCTTTGCTTCAGCCCCCACAGGTGTCTGCTGTGCTGCCCAGGTGGTGGCTACTTCCTAAGCGCTCCTTCCAAAGCATTACTCCTTTTGTTGTTGTTTGAGACAGTCTTGCTCTCTTGCCCAGGCTGGAGTACAGTGGCTGACCTCAGCTCACTCCGCCTCCCGGGTTCAAGTGGTTCTCCTGCCTCAGCCTCCCAAGTAGCTGGGATTACAGGTGCCCACCACTGCACCCAGCTAATTTTTGTATTTTTAGTAGAGACGGGGTTTTGCCATATTGGCCAGGCTGGTCTCAAACTCCTGACCTGGTGATCTACCCGCCTCGGCCTCCCAAAGTGCTGGGATGACAGGCGTGAGCTACCACGCCCAGCCACTCAAAGCGTTAATCCTTACTGAATAAACGTGCTAGGTCCCCTGACCACTTCACCTCAGGCGTTATGTGTCCCTGTGGGTTCGCCCGCCATCCTTGCTCCTTCTGGAGTGGATAAATCTCCATCTCTCCTTGGGGCGCTGGCATGTTGCCTCCTCCTGCACCATCCCCCCACATTCCTCTCAATCCCCTCATCTGCCATGGTTTTCATTTTCCCCAGGTCCCAGGTGTGACACCTTCAGCAGGTCTCAGGGAAGATGGCAGCCCTAGGGGACGTTCAGAAGTCCCCTTCTGTCCCGTCCCCTGTCAGTCTCTCATCACCGGGGACACCTGGAGCCCAGCACCACGAGCCTCAGCTTCACCTCCATGGGCATCAACATGGTACTCACCCAGCCCGCTGTGTACCCTCCACCCAGCATCCCCTGCCCTCATGTCCCCTGCCCCGTCTCCTCCTGACCTGCCACCCTGGCTGACTGAGGCACCTCCAGACACCTGTATGCAGCGCCTTCAGCAGCTGGGGTTCCCGCACCCTCAGGCCAGGGGCTGGGCGCGGGTTGGGTTGGGAGAGCAGTGGTTGAGGCTGGGGCCAGCCTGAGCTCTAGCTCCCTAGGGATGGTTCCCCGCATTCTTTCTTTCCTGAGTTGCGGTATAGGAGGGAAAATGGCCTCAAAATCTGCGTCCAGCGTGACCAGGAGCAAGGCGTGGCCCCTCTGTTTGTTGTCATTCAGGAAGACCAGGAGCAAGGCATCGCCCCTCTGAGTGTTGTCATTCAGGAAGTGCAGCAGCCAGAGTCCTTGCCAAGCTGGTTTGGGTGTGGTTCCCCGGACCCGCAGGGACAGAGGGCCGGCCTTGCTCCACCTCTGATGGTATGGCCTGGTGGTCACATGGCAGGCCCTGGGAGTTGAGGTGTGGGGGAGTCCCAGCCCCATGGTGCCCCAGGCTCTGCTCCCTCTCAGAGGTCAGGGATCCTGAGGCTCCATCTCTGCTGGATGTTCCACAGGAGGCCTGGCCTCACGGCCCTCGTGGCCCAACCCAGCACATGAGCTGCTGACAGCAGGGGCAAGGCCCCACATAGATCAAGCCTGGAGAGCCTGTGTCTGGCCCAGGAATGGGGCGACCTGGCACAGGGTTCTCCCTCTTGGGGAGTCAGCATCCTGGTGGCTGAAGGGACCACTGAGGCTTGTGGAGAGCAGCTGCACTGCATGGGGCCCTCAGGTGGGCACTCAGATGGGGACAGAGAGGCCAGGGGCTTCCCCAACGAGCCAGGACCAGGGTGGGTTAGAGGAGCAGGGAGCCAGGCGGCTTGGCATCCACTCCCCCGAGGAGCAGGAGCCTGCAGCCCTGCCATCTCCACGGCTGTGTCCCAAGCAACTCCCCAGGGACTGTGAGGAGGCTGGGAAGGGGCGCCCGTGGGCTGCCTGGGCTGCCTGTCCTGGTGGGCCTGGCCAGGGGCTACCTGGAAGGATCCCAAGCCCCCGCAGCACACACTGTGGCTGGGCCTGCAGCCAATGCCCCTGAGGGCCGTGCTCCTCACCCCTTATTCAGTCAAAATCTCAGGGCCCGCCCTTGCCCTCTCATGTCACCTGTACAACGACTGAGGGACGTCCTCCTGTCCTGTTACCAGTGGGGACACGGCAGCCCAGAGACAAGGCCAGGAGGCCAGCAGACTCAGGGCATGCCCCGGCACTCCCGCCCCCCGCCCCAGGCCTGGTGAGGTGTGACTTCTCCAGGGGGATAGTCGTCTTGGGGAGGGCACAGCCCAGCAGATCATCTTAGCACAGGACACAGGCTGAGGGGGCTGCAGGCCAGGTTCTGCAGGATACGAAGCTGATGTCCAGGCAGAGGGTGGACCTGGGGAGCATGGAGGGGCCTCAGGCTGGGCCCCCTGAGCCTGCAGGGTTGCACTACCCCCAGCCCTGTCTCCACCAGTGGGCAGTCAGGCCCAGAAAACCAGGCATGAGTCCCCAGCCCCACAGGCCTGGAAGCGTCCTGGGCACTGAAGCCATGTCCGAGTGCCCTGAAATCCCCAGAGGTTTTGCCCCATGGGAGGGAGTGGGGGCTGCACCAGCAGCTTCTGTGCTCTCCCTGCTGTACCAGAAGCGGCATCCAGGGAGGACAGACCAGCTCGGCCCTGAGAACGGCAGGTGTGGCTGCTTCCCCCCAGCAAGAGATTGTGGCAGGAGGAGATTGTGGCTGAGGCACAGTGGGGCCTGGGGGCAGGTAGCCAGAGCCAGATAAGGGGGTGGCCTTCATCCCCTCTTCATGCTGATAGGCCCAGTGTAGAGCGAGCAGGGCCAGGCCACAGCAACGGGCGGCCTCTGTCACAACTTCCAAGCACTGGGTGAAGGCAGGGGCTGCTTCCGGGCGTTTCCAGTGTCCTCTCTCCTTGGGAACGCCCTGGGGCCACAGATTCCTAGGCAGAGGAGGCCTCGGGGTTTCCGGAAATTGTCCAGGGCTGTCCTGCCAGTTAGGGGCCAAGCCAGGACTTGGAGCCACAGCCTCCCAACTCCCAGACTGCACTGGGCTAGACCAAGGTTCCCGGGGCCCACCCCAGGCACACGTGGTCACCTCAGGAACCTCTGGTGGGTGCCTGGCTGGGCATGTTGAGCCCTGGGCTGTGAGGTGTTGGGGAGCAGAGGAGATCCCGAGGAGGAACTGTTTATCAGTGGGGAGGGTAGTGAGGGGCATGGGGAGCGGCCGGGGAAGGTTCTCTGCGGTGGTTCCTGCAGACATGAAGCTGGGGTCCCACAGCAAAGGGCTTGGGGCCATGGTCTAGCCCAGGCCTTGCAGAGCAGGGAGACCAGGCAGGTGGGAACAGGACACAGTTCCTCATTTCCGAGGACCTCCGTGGTCCCCACGGACACGCAGATCAGGAGCTGGGCTGGGCTTGGACTGAGAGTCCTCACACAGCTCCTGAGGGATTGTGTTGTGCCCCAAGGGCACGCCCACCAGAGCCAGCACTGCCTGCACCGGTTCTGGAAGGTTTGCCCAGGGGTCCTGCAGGTGGAGGGGAAGTCTGTGGGCAGGAGGAAGTGAGGGAGGGGAGGCCCGGGACCCTCGGGGGCTTGCAGTCCTGTGGGGGTTACTGAGTGCCCAGGCTGGTGGGGAGGACCCCATGGGCAGGGCAGTGGCACCCCGCGACAGGCACAGCATCTTTCCACATGGAGTGCCTGGCCCTGGCACCTGAGATCTGGACTCTAGGTGCCCACCGACCACCCCCCAGCGCCTAACTCACCTGGTCCGGGCCCAGGCACATAGCACTTGCTGTGCCATTTTATACACAAAGAAAGGCCCCTCCGGCCAGGAAAGCACCCACCTCCGCCCGTCCCCAGCCGCGCACGGCCACCTCGCCTCCACCTGGAAGACCAGCCCCAGCAGGTGGCAGCCCTGGTGTTTCTGCACTTCGGGCCACCCTGTCCCTGTCCCAGCACAGCAGTGGGGGGGGCACTGGCTGGGGGAGGGGTCAGGGAAACTGAGGCGGGGGTAATTCTGCACAGAGCCAGTGGGGTCGGGAGCAGGGTCTGGGTGTCCACCCTGCAGAGACCTGGCACGGCCCGGGCACAGCCAGCAGGTGGCAGGTGACTGAGCTTTGCAGAAATGGCCCGAATGTGGGCAAGTGTCAGGAGCCAGGGTTAGGCAGTGGAGTGACAGTGACCTATACTGTGTGCGGCCCGCCCCTGACCCTAGGCCACCCCCATCCTCTAGAGAAGGTCCTAGGAAGTGCTTTGCTACATGAATGGGGCGGGTTCCCAGGGCGCTGGGGCCCATCCTGAGCCCGCTTGTTCCGCAGCAGGGTGGAGACAGTGCACACCACCTGGCATCGTTTGACACTGAGGGTGTCGCTGGGCACCCGTACAGCTGGCAGCAGCTTTGGCGTGCCTCCTATCTTGGTAATGTCACTGGTCCTCTTAAAGTGACAGCCCGGGGAACATCCCGCCTGTCAGTGCCGGGGCGTGGCCCCAGGAACAAAGCTGGAATCGGGGTCACTTTCTTTCTCAAAGTGCTGCCAGGTCCCCTCCAGTGGCATCCCAGTGCAGGGCAAAGGTGGCAAGGCTGTCTCAAGAGAGGTGATGCCCTCACCGCCCCCCTCTGCGGGAGCACGGCGCTGGAGCCTGCCCTGCATTTGGCCATCTGTAGAACAAGCCAGCTCCCTTGGCTGCCAGGGGATGGTGACATGGTGGCCACAAGCTGGGGGTGAGGGTCACAGCCCAGAGAAGCCAGTGCCCCCAGGCCTGTCCCCACGTTGGGGAGCGTATCTGAAAGGCCTAGAGGTGGTTTGGGACCCCCCCACATCCTGCTTCGGGGCAGCCAAGCAGTTGGACCCTCGGCTCCCGAGGAAGGGACGTCGCACAGCCGCCCCCACCTGCTGAACTTCCCAGCCCTTCATGTCAGGTCTGCCCTCACTCCTCAGCCTGGGCTCGGAAGGTCTCCCAGGGGCCGACCTGAGGGTGGGTGGGCGTGTCGGGTGATTGAGTGGCTGGCCAGGCTGGGGGAGTCCACCCTCTGTGGTGGGCCAAGCTGGTCACCCCACTGCAGCCGGGGCAGGCCTGCCTGAGGCTGGAAAGTCCCATGAAAGGCTCACAGCCAGGCACTGTGTTATTAACATGGTGGGGACAGGAGCCTCTGCCCACCCCAGCCCTGCGTCTTTCTGTGCCCATCGCTGCATTGTCATCGCTGGGGGCACCCAGACTCGGCCTCGTGGGGCAAAGAGACACCCCTGTCCTTGAGTACAGCCCCCAGCCACCCTACCTGCCGTGGGCAGAGGGTAGGTGAGACCCCCAAAGGGGCCTGGTGCCCCTGCCAGTGTGAGGAGAGCTGACTACTGGCCTTGGGCAGCAGAGCCCGCGCCCCTCCCTCTTGCATCTGCTCCTTGAGTGTTAAGGCCATCCCCCCACCCTGCCCTCACCAAGTCTTGGGTAGAAGGAGGGGGTCTTGGTCCTGGGTGCCCAAGCCTGGTGTGCCCAGGGGCGAGGGGCTCATGAATGGGCCCAGCCCATTCCTCAGTCTCTGCCTGGGGAAGCAGGGGGCCAGTACACTGGGCCTGCTGGGAACAGCTACCTCTGCTGTTTCTGGGTGCTCATCGGGTACGTCGGAGAGCCCTGGGGGGACAGAAAGGCCTGGGGCCGAGGGAGGAGGCTTTGTGAGGTGCCTGTGTGGGAGCCTGCAGGGCCAGCACTTTGAGAGGCCACTCCAGAGCAGCACTGCAGGACAGTGGGGCAGGGAGGAGGGCTGGCCACAGCCAGCCAAGGTGACAAAGCCGCCTTCAGCAGCAGGAGGACCACTTCGAAGCTACCCCAGGTTTTGGCTCTGCTTACTGGGCTGAAGGGGATGAGCTCCCAATGCTGGTCCCTGGAGGAGGAGGCTCTTGAACCCAGCTGGGAAGGAAGGTAAAGGGCGTTCGTGGCTAGAGAAGCCCGAGCAGCAGGCCTGCTACTGGGATGGGGAGGGCCAGGAGGTATCCTGTGTCAGGGCCACAGCCCAGGAGCACGTGGCAGTCAGAGAGGAGCAGGGGCAGCGGTCCGGAGGGTGGAGGTGAGCCCCAGCCTCCCTGCCCCCCAGGCTCCCCGAGCTCCAGCCCTGAGGTGTTGTCCCAGCCGTCTGACCTGGATCTCCAGGACATAGAGGAGGTGGAGATCGGCAGAGACACCTTCTGGCCCGGTGAGTGAGCAGAACTGGGTTACTAGGTGACCAGAGCTCTGTGCGTGCCAGGCTCCTCACAATGCCCACCGCTGTGGCTCCCCCAATGCTGGCACCACCCCCTTCCTGGGGCCCCTTCTCTTCCCTGGCCCCAGCTCAGCTCTGCCCTGTGGCCCCTCCCCCATTCTAGTGCCAGTCTAGTCACTGATGCTTCCCGAGGCGGTGACTGCAGCCCATTGCCACCTGCCCCAGTGGCACCACGTGGACTCCTGCCAGCCCCAGCCGGACGTAGTGAAGCAGGAACTCCTCCCTCCCCTCCACCTGCCTCAGGCTGGGGCCTCTGGCTCAGAGCACCACTGTCCCCCCAGATCCACCAGAGTTATCCTGGGTCCCCTCCTACTGCATCCCCTAGATGGCCTCCCCTCAGCCTGACTGGAGCTGTGTCAATCCAGGTCCCCTGCACCTCCCCCTTGAGAAGCCGCCTGGGTTCCTTCCAGGCGACGTTAGTGATAGGCTGGATTTAACAGGGCTGAGCCCTCGCCCACACCTGGGTGGCCCTGGGGTGGGGAGCAGGTGTCTGAGGTCAGGTCCCTGGGAGGAGACCCTGGGCCAGAGATTTGCGTGGGAAGCTCCTGGGGTGGGCATGGGAGCTGGGCGGCAGGGCACTTGCCACCGAGGCCTGATGCAGCCCCATGAGGAGCTGTGCCCATACAGACCACATCCTCTGCCAGGGCTTGGGAGCGCCGTCTGGAGCTTTGGAGTCCCCCAGGTTCTGGGTCCTCACCAGCACTGAGTGCTTTCTCCTGGCTACGGTCTGTCTGGCCACCGTGGCTCCGTGCCCTGGCACAGCTGCTGTGGTGACTGTAATGGTCCCAGCAGCTCTGGGTCACCCTGCAACGCCCCCCACCCCTGTGTCTATGACAGTCCTTCCGGGCACGGCACCTGGAGCCCCTGTCCGCTTGTCTCCCATCCACTGGGTGCCTGGCCCCTCCTCGTCCCCTCTGAGCACCCCTGTCCAGCTGTGCTCTTATCCCCTCCCCGTCCCTCCGTGTCACGGTGGGGGCACGCGGGTACTATCCGCCTCTGCCGTTTCTCATTTCAGACTCCGAGCCCGAGCCGGAGCAGGCTCCACGCTCTCCCGGCTCTCAGGCCCCTGACGAGGGGACGGGCGGGGCGCTGCGCAGCCTCCTGAGGAGCCTTCCCCGCAGGGCCCGGTGCGGCGCTGGCTTCGGGCCCGAGTCCAGCGCGGAGCGGCCGGCGGGCCAGCCGCCTGGGGCCGTCCCCTGCGCCCAGCCGCGGGGCGCCTGGCGCGTGACGCTCGTGCCGCAAGCAGGGGCCGGGCCCGAGGGCGCGCCCGAGCGAGCCGCCGAGCTGGGAGTCAACTTCGGTCGGAGCCGGCAGGGCAGCGCGCGGGGGGCCAAGCCGCACAGGTGCGAGTCCTGCGGCAAGAGCTTCAAGTATAACTCGCTGCTGCTGAAGCACCAGCGCATCCACACGGGCGAGAAGCCCTACGCCTGCCACGAGTGCGGCAAGCGCTTTCGCGGCTGGTCAGGCTTCATCCAGCACCACCGCATCCACACGGGCGAGAAGCCCTACGAGTGCGGCCAGTGCGGCCGCGCCTTCAGCCACAGCTCGCACTTCACGCAGCACTTGCGCATCCACAACGGCGAGAAGCCCTACAAGTGCGGCGAGTGCGGCCAGGCCTTCAGCCAGAGCTCCAACCTGGTGCGCCACCAGCGGCTGCACACGGGCGAGAAGCCCTACGCCTGCAGCCAGTGCGGCAAGGCCTTTATCTGGAGCTCCGTGCTCATCGAGCACCAGCGCATCCACACTGGCGAGAAGCCTTACGAGTGCGCCGACTGCGGCAAGGCCTTCCGCGGCCGCTCGCACTTCTTTCGGCACCTGCGGACCCACACGGGCGAGAAGCCCTTCGCGTGCGGCGCCTGCGGCAAGGCCTTCGGCCAGAGCTCCCAGCTCATCCAGCACCAGCGGGTGCACTACCGCGAGTAGCCCGGCGGGGGCTCGGGGCGAAGCCTCCTGCCTGCCCCCACGGTGGGCATTGCCCAGCACCGCATGCCATGTGTCCGGAATAAATTCTTTTTGATTGTTGGAAGTGGGAGCCGGCACCTGCCTGGGTGAGGCCTTGGGGCAGCTTCCCATCCCCGAGGACCCGCTGCAGGATGGGGTTGACGGGGCTGCTTCACCAAGACCTGCCACGCAGGGCCACGGGGTCCCTGGAGCCTGGCGGGCGGCCCGAGTGTCCTAGGGGAGGATCTGAGGCCTGGAGTTGTCCTGACTTGCCCAGAGCCCGGAAGTAGTCAGGCCTTTCTGACGCTGATACCCCACCATCAACGCGGGGGGCGCGCCCAGAGCAGGAGGTGAGGACAGGGCCGGTCTAGAAGTGCCCACAGGCCTGGCCAGGCTGCCTGCCACCTGGGCGAGGGGTGTCCAGGAATTCGGTTCCCTTATGTATTTGGGAAGCCTCTGCTTCTGTCCAATGCAGCAGACTCTTCCCCACGTGCCCTCTCAGCTCTGCTGCCTCCTCCCCCTGCCTCCATTCAGCGGGGAGCCTGCTGGGCAGCAGTGGCCCGGGCCTCCTCTGCATCAGCCCCTTGCCCTGGGATGTGGGGGCCCAGGGTGTTCAGGTCTTGACAGGTGTGGGCTGGTACAGCTGGGCCTGCCAGGCCCTTTTCAGAGCTGCCGGGACACTGCTTCTGGGCAGGGGAGTCTGGGCCACGAAGTTCTGAGAGAGCTCAGCTGGGGGTGGCCTCAAGCGCTGAGTGCCAGTGATTCTGCCAGCGCCTTCTCCCTGCCCTGTCTGTGCTCTCCGGTACAGCTGGCAGACCCCGGAGTCCAGCCTGGCTCCTCCGAGGCTCCCCCTCTCCAGGTCTCACCTCCCCTCCTGCTGTGACTCGTCCAGAACCCTGGGCCTCGTCCCCACATGTGTCTGTGGCGGGCCTGTGAGGTCACTGTCCTGTCGAAGACGAAGGCTACCGTCCCCGCTTTTTGGCGGTGCCTGCGGAGGCCTGCGCAGTGCGCATCTGATGTCAGCCCCAGCAAGCCATTTTTCCGGAGAAGAACCCGGAGGCTCCGAGGTGACCCGTGGCTTGCTCGAGGTCACACGATCAGTGACGGCACCAGATGAATCCGAGCTCCCTGACCAGCCATCCACCCAGACCCCTGCTGAGACAGCGGGACCTCGTTTCCAACTCGGAAGCCCGGGGAACGCGGCTGCCCGGACTGGGAGCCCGCAGCACAGGGCCCTGTGCCACCCCTTGGGGAAGGCGGCCCCAGGCTCCGCCAGCCCCCGCCTCCCTCTCCAGGCCATGCCCTGGGGGCCCTGTGGACGCCCCACTCCGCCGGGTGAGAACGAGTTTAGGGGTGCGGGCTGGAGGTCAGTGTGTCTGTCCGAAGTCAGCTGGGAGGCAGGCGCCTACTTGAGGCGTCCGTGCTGGTGTGCGGTGGCCCTTGGGTTCAGACTGTCGGCCTGAAAGGTAAGGGTGAGAACGCCTGCATTCTGCTTGTTCAGTAACACGCGAGGGCAGCCAGGCCGAGGGGCTGGCTCTGCAGGGACCGCCCCGCGCGCCCCCGACTCCCCCGCTGGACCCCAGCTCGCTGCGACCAGAGAGAGCCCGGCGGTCCTCCACGCCGTCCTAGACAGTCCCGGAAGTGGCCGCGGCGCCGGGAGGGGCGGGGAGGGGGCGGGGAGGGGGCGGGGCCGGGCGCACTCTCCGCAGCCCGCACGAGACTCGAGCAGCGCCAGCTCACGGGAGGCTTCCCGGCGGAAGGGAGTGCGGCGCGGCGAGTCCGGCAGGGCTGCTCCTCCGCGCCGGGTCGTAAACCCTCTGCAAGGTCTCTGTGTACCCCCTCGTTGGGCAGGGCCCGCGAGATGGGCTGAAATGGCATTTGCGTCTTCCCCAGTGTCCTCAGCTCCTTCTCCAAGCCCGCGGGCACGGGGCTGATTCTCGAACGTGCCATCTGATCCACTCGACATTTCCCGGGAACCCCAGAGCGGCCCGGCAGGACTTTTAAGGGCATTTTTCTACCTTGTGGTGGCTGCCGGGTGTATCAGCGTGTAGTTGAACAGGACATAATATTCCTGAGCCCTCCTGGGACGCCTGCGACCCTGAGCTGTGCTCGGCCTCTTGGTCACGGCCCTCCCCATCCTCCTTCGATTTGCATCACTCGAGCCGCTTGTCCGGGCGGCCGCCCCCGGGGCTGGTTCGGAGCCCTGTCCCACCCCTACCAGCTCTGCCCCCGAGAGGAACCTGGACGCAGACCACCGGGAGCATCTCCAGCTCAACGGCCAATCTCCAACCCACACCACCTCCAAACCCACACCACCACTCCTCTCCCTCCTCCGACCCAGGACCTCGATTCTCAGCCTTCGCCCTCTCCCTCCTCCCCGAAGTGACCGGGGATCTTCCTAAAGACCCGATGGTATCTGGGAGCCCAGGTTTGGGATCCGCCAGCCCTGATTCCATACCCCACACTTACCCTTCCTCACGGAGCTCGTTTCTGCCTCTGACAATGGAGGAAGCGCAGCCGGGTCGGCACCGCACATGGTGGTTGGAAGGACAGCATGGGTGGGGTTCTCTGCACAGTGCCAGGCACGCAGCAGATCCCCATAAAAAGAGCTCCTGGAAGGGCTCTGTCGACACTGTGAGTGGATAGTCTTAGCAGAGGACCACCTGAGGCCTGGGTTGGTCACAGCAAATGTGAGGGACCAGGAAAAGGGGTGCATGTGAGTTTTGGAACCCAGGAAATGATCATCTGTATCTGGCACAGTATCTGTTTTTGAGCCCTGAAGGAACTAAAGGCCCTGGAGAGGCTCTGAACCCTAAAGCACTGGACCCGCCGGGAGAGGTCTTCTGAGTTAGCTTCCTGCGGCCCCAGACAAGCGGAGAGCCAAGTGCTGACCTAATCGTGGCCTTGGGGGCAGGTGTGCATGCCCATGGATTAGCAAATAAAGGACCAAAATGAGCTTAAGTTTGGACCCTTTTCAGTTCACAAGGCTTTTTATTTTTACATACATATATGTAGCATGGTGTATTGGCTAAGGAAGTCGACCTTGGAATTTCAAGCCCAATTCTACAGTTAACTGTGAGGCTGGATGAGTTATTAATCTCTGAATCTGTTTCCTGATTAGTAAATGATGCGTTAGGGTTCTCCAGAGAAACAGACCAATGGTGTGGGGTGGGGGAGGGCAAGAGAAAGAGGGTTATTATCAGGAATGCACTCACAGGGTTATGGGGGCTGGGCAGTCCCAAGACCTGCAGCTGTCAAGCAGAGGAGCTGATGGTGTGAGTCCCCGTCTGAAAGCCAGCAGGCTTGAGACGCACAAAGAGCTGATGTTTCCATTCAAGCCTGAAGGCAGGAAAAGACCTAGGTCCCGGTTCAGTCAGGCAGGAGGAGATTCCCATGCGGGCCTTGAACTCATTGAATGAGGCCCACCCACATTATGAAGGGCACTCTGCGTCACTCAGTTCACAAATTCAAATGTTAATTTTATCCAAAAACACCCCCACAGACACACTCAGCACACACAGTGCCACTACTTGCTCTCAGATTGCTCTCCAGACTGGGGGAACCAACTGACAAGGCTCCCAGTGCCCCCAGCTAAGAGACTACCTTCCCCGTAACTTTTCAGCATGTTCACTTGATTTTCCAAGCTTAACAGACTTGTGATATTACTTTAATCGCAAACAAGGCTCTGCTGTCCCACGTGCTTGCTTTGCCACATGGCACAGTGTGTCTCACAGACGCACTCTTCACAAGGACAGGTCCAGACCTGTGTCAGTCACTGCTTCATCCCAGCACCCAGCACAGGGTCTGACTCATGGTGAGCTGTGGACAAATGTGCACGCAATTAACGACTTGTTACTGCCTCAGGGTTCTCTTTTCCAGATGTCTAGAGCAACTCACATTTATTCGCTCCTTATTTCAGACTGGGAGAAAGGGCCTGAGCAGAAGGATCAGAGTTCAAAGGAGGGGACACAGCGCCACAGAGGCAATGCCTGGAGCACCACAGATTGGGGACTGGGCACGTACTCGGGTGAGGGTGGAAAGAGCATGGAAGTCAGGGTTCAGTCAGAAGACAGAGGCCTCGCCAGTCATTTCAACAGAGAGGATTTCGCATCATGAATTACTATGTACGAAGTGGCTACCAAAGGAGCTGAAAAGAGATGTCTTAAGTATCTCAGAAGCAAAAACTGCAGAGAGCAGCTGCTACACTAGGGTTGTGGACACAAAGAGAAGAGCGTGGAATTATTGGGATCAGAAAGCCTGGGAACTAAACCCCTAAGGGGAGGGCTTCGCAGGTCTCTGGTCCCTGATCTGGCCCCGAGAGTGGGGCCAGACCCCCGAGGAGGGGCGTCGCTGGCTGCGGTCTGAGGTCCTCCAGCGGGGGGGTGATGAAGCTGCTTCTGCGAAGTTGGGAACCCGCTCCCCGGTTTTAGCAGCCGCGGAGGGAAGTGCTCCCGCCAGGGCGAAGCAACAGAGTTCGCAAGACAAGCAACCAGGGAAGCAAACAGACCGGAAGTCTGAGGAAAAACCGGAAGCAAACCGGAAGGAGTGTGCCCCTCCCTCCTCCCCAGCCTCGAGCGCTTTCTCTGGCGCCCCTAGTGGGAAAGCCTAGCGTGGCTCCAGCTGGCCAAGCAGAAAAAGGTTTGCGGAGACCAGGCCAGCCACAGAGGTGGAGCTGAGGGTCAAAACCTCCTGCCTGGAGCAGGAGGGCAGAGAGGCCTTGTACGTTCGAGCGGATTCATAAGATAAATGCTAAAGGGCTCAGATGGCTGAGATGAGATTTTGTAGAAAAACCTGGCAGTGGTCAAGTGCAGCCAGGGCTTCAGGAGTCCAACCTGGTTTGTAAGTCTCCAGGAGCCCACGCGTGGCCGCAGGTGCAAACTGTCCCAGAGCTCAGAGCAGCCATGCACGGGAGAATTCCTCCAAGAGAGAAACGCCGTGAATATGACTTCCGGGGACACGCACAGCTGGTGGAAACCGTATGCACGTAGTGTGCATAGGTGAGATGTAATGGAACCCTGGAGAAGCACCTTGTGAACGTGGAAAGGGCTTTGCACATGCTCAGGCTCCGCTGGGGATCAGAACATTCTCACAGGAGAGAAGCCAATGAGCGGCAACGGACGTGGCCACACCTTCGTGGAAGCACTGGTCCTCAGGCATCAAAATGGACATGGAGAGGCCCTGCAAATGTAATGACTGTGGGAACGCCCACCTCCTGAGTTCATGCTGCCGTGAGGTAGCGGACTGTGGATGCGGGCATGTGGAGAGGTCTCAGATAATCCCCACTGAAGAGGAACCCTGTGGATGTCATCCACGCACCAGAATCCGATAAATTGCACCAAGGGGCCCCACCCCCACCCCCTGTGCGGTGACCACAGCAAAACCTTTAAGCAAAGATCTCAAGCCCCGAAATGCCAGGGCCGTCACCAGGGATGCAGCAGGGAGTGAAACACCCGTCTCTTGTCTCACACCAAACCATAGCCAAGGGATTCACCACGAGGTGAATGAGGTGCGAGAGGGAGGATTCTGCAGGCGGAGACTGCCCTCGGGGTTGTGGCCTCAGAACGGGGGCCTTCTCCCTGGAGACGTGGACCCTGTTTCTTACAGCAGCTTCTGTGCATCACCGGCAGGCAGTGCCAGTTGACACCAATCAAGGGATCTCAACACTCAGCCTGCACATGTGCAGATCCGCTGGGAAAACGCAGCCCCTCCCATCCTCAGATCCTAAAAGGGATAAGGCCTTGCCCATTAGCTGAGTCCAGGAGAACCTGGCTGGGACCAGAGGGTGAGAACCGACCCCTGCGGCTGCTACAGGCCCCATCAGGGGCCTTCCCACCCGGGGAGGGTTTCCTGGCAGTGTCTTTGGAGTCGCCGCACGTTTCTGCCCAGTTTTCACAGCCCACTCCTCCCTGGGTTCCGGCTGGGTATCTTCCTCAGAATGGCTCCGCGCCTCGCCTGCCTGGTTGATGGAGGTCTCGCTCTGATCACATCCAGTTCCTGTGGACCACCGGCCACTCACCAGGCCGCTTTGCCTTGCGTTTTCTAGGGTCTTGTTTCATGGGGTCATGGGAACCCTCTCAGGGACCACCCAACTACCTGAGAAGCCCGCTGGAAAACGCGGATTCCCAGGCCCCACCCCAAGGGATTCAGCAGGCCTCAGGGGAAGTCAGGGAATCTGGATTTAGTTCAGATACCCAAATGCATTGATCATGGGCCAGATTCTGGAATCTGTTCTCCTCCAAGCCCTCAAAGCAGAAGCTGCTGGCCGGCCCTCTGCACAGGCCACGGTCCAGGCCCTCCTCAGACACCACCTGGACGGGCAGTTTGAGCCGTGGGACGCCCCTGCTTGGGCCAGAATTGGGTCCTGCACCTCCGACCTGCAGGGCCCAGCTCGGCCTCTGGGCCCTCTGGGCCTCTGGCAGACGCGCTCCGCCAGGCGCCCCTTGCCTCCGTGACGCCCCCTCTCTCGCTCCACAACGCGGCCCCATGCTGGATCACAGCCTCAAGACCCCTCCGGCCCCCAGCCGCGCGAGCAACGCCAGGCACGCGCCCGCCCCCGACCCGCCACCCTTGGGTTTGCGCCGGGTCCCCCGTCGGTCCTCTGAACGGGTCCTCCGAGCTGCCTAGAGCGCCCGGAAATGCCCTCGGCACGGGGCGGGGCTTGCGGGGGCGGGGCTTGCGGGGGGCGGGGCCGCGCTTCCGATTCGCGCTGTGCTCCGCGGGCTGGGTCTAGGCAGTGCCCCAAGCGCGGGAGCCGCCGGTCAAGCCTTTAAAGATCACAGTGTTAAACAGGTTTCTTTTTCCCAATAGCATTTATTCATGCTCTTTGAAGAAATTTGGGAAGTGCAAGAAAAATAGAAGAGACAGAAATTTTCTCCTCAGCACTACGGGCTGGGGATCCCAAATCCAAACACCTTAAACTCAAGCCTTTGGAGCAGCCGACGTGCCGCGCACAGGAAATAGTCATTGGAACACCTCGGACTTCGGATGTGGGAATTTGGGAGGCTCAGCTGCTAACTACGGTACAAATATTCCCAAATCCAAAAAAAGGCCAAACCCCCCCCCTTTTTTTTTTTTTTTTTTTGAGACGGAGTCTCGCTCTGTCACCCAGGCTGGAGTGCAGTGGCTCTATCTCGGCTCACTGCAACGTCCGCCTCCCGGGTTCACGCCGTTCTCCTGCCTCAGCCTCCCGAGTAGCTGGGACTACAGGCGCCGCCACCACGCCCGGCTAATTTTTTTGTATTTCTAGTGGAGACGGGGTTTCACCGTGTTATCCAGGATGGTCTCGATCTCCTAACCTCGTGATCCTCCCGCCTCGGCCTCCCAAAGTGCTGGGATTACAGGCGTGAGCCCCCGCGCCCGGCCACCAAAACACTTCTGGTCCCAGGCATTTGGGATAAGGGATACTCAGGCTGAACAAGGAACGTCTGTGCACGTTTTTAGCAGCTGTTGCTGTTACACTAAATAGACTCCATGGTTAACTTGTCCCTAAAATAACCTTCACGTCCTGAGGTCTGAGATCTGCTGGGAGCAGTGCTGGAAGCCCTATTTCCCCACGCGAGAGAGGCGCCAGCATCCCTCATTTACAGGAGGAATTCGAGACTTGGTGAGGACGTCCCACAGCCCGGATTTGAACCCAGGCTTGGATTCCGAGGCCCACGTACTTGCTCCACAGTGCCTTCTGCTGGCCACCTTCTCTGCCCTCAAAGATTGCTGTAACCAGAAGTGGATGAGCATTTCGAGGAGGAATGCTCCCCGCACAAGCCGAGGTGTTTGCAGGGTATCCCAGACTCCACTTTGGTGTCCCTGGAGTGCCCATGCCAGCGACCTTTTGGTGGCTCTCTTACCCCAGTTGGAACTGTCGCCAAGTGTGTCCCCATCGTGGGGAGAGGAAGAGAGGAAGTGGATTAGCGGCGTCAGGCCTTGCGGAGGTGTACTCGCACCGTCCTGCGCTACGGTCTCAGAAGCAGGAGGACGCTTTCCGGGAGCCAGCTGCTGTGGCACCTGCAGCAGTTTCAGCAGTTGGATAGCTCCAGCCGCCCTGTCACACCCTCACTCCTCATCCACTCCAAAATTCAACGCAGCATGCCAGGCCCCAGGTATGTCGAGGCGGAAAGCTACGGTCCCCGCCCGATGGAGCCGTGCAGTTCCCCGCAGCGTGGGTGGAGGAGGGGGGACAGGTGTCCAGACGTGTGTGTACATGGGCCGGCAACTCCCAGTCCTTGAGTCTCAGGTGGGCAAAATCATGCCGCCACTGTGGCCCTCGTGTGCCTGACTCCAGGCAGGGCCTTCCCGTCCTGCCTCCCGGCACGCTGTGTGTGGCCCTTCTGTGAGGCTGTTGCCCCTCAAGCAGCCCCTGGGATGCGAAATCCCCTCGTTCACACGGCAGAGTATTCAGCCCAGCGCCTGCTGCAGAGCCTGGGTGAACAGCGTCTGGGTGACGAGAGTAACAGGCAGGATGCAAGTGGAGGCAGGCGGCTTCCGCGGACCTCGGTCCATGTGCCCGTCCAGCAGGACCCTGAGCCCAGCTCCCATCTGGGGCGAGGGCTCCGCAGTGGCAGGCAGGAGGGGATGCATAATGAGCTCCGGAAAGCTCTAGAATGCCGTCTGTCGCCATTACACTTGACGGAGGGCGTGGTGAATAGCAAGGGCTTGGGGCATGTGGTTGGATTTTGGGTTTTTCCTTGCAGGACTGTGCCGAACCTGCAGCATTGGGAAGCTCTTGGCCTCTGCCCTTTCTCTGAAACGTGCCTCTTCTGCCTGGATGGCTTGGTCATTCCTTTCTCATCCATAACCTTGAATAGCTTCACCAAGATCCATGCTAGTGTCAATATTTTATATTAATTTTGTCTGGGATATGGGGCTCTTGATTTTTTTGAATTAGGGTATAATTTGCATAGCTAAAATGCCCAACTCTTAAGCACACGGCTTGACTGTTTACATGTTTACACTCTTGCTAATCCACCCAGGTCACAGCATGGAACTTTCCAGAGCTTCTCTTACCCTTCCTTTCCCCTCCCCAAGCTGATGGGTATGCTAGCTTCTGGAGGGCCCCGTCTGCCATCGGGCCTCTCAGGGGTGGATTAATCCGCCCGCCTTCCTGACACTCCTCTTGCTCTGCGCGATGTGCTAGCGGTCACCCCATGTGGTTCCAAATGTCCGTTGGCCCCTTCCGGGCCGGTGTGTGGTTTCCGATTCTGAGTGTTTGCTTTGACCCCATTTTTATTGTTGGGGTTGTGTACTTCTCATGCCGTTTTCCCATCCCAAACCTGTGGTGTCTTAGTTCTGAGTGAGAACACCCTTGTGGCTATAAGAGCCCCAGAGTAGGAAGCCCAGCATTGGTGTGGCAAGGTTGGGTTCCCTAAAAGCCAAGCGGCCTCCCCACCTCAGCGCCCTTCCCAAACTCCTGCTTACACATCAGGACCCACTGGCAGTGCTGTTCGAGTCACTGCTCCCTGGTCTCTGCTTCTAATGAGGCCTGCATGTGCTGCTTTCCAGCACCTGGCAGGCAGTGCCCACTGTGCCTCTGTGTTTCTCCCCTTTCATGAACTCCCAGGGCAGCCCCTGTGGCGCTCTGTCCATCTTTGGGGGTGTCCCTGGTGCCCAGCACAGCAGGAGTGAATGTCCTGGGCAAGTTCTGCCTGACTGCAGAGCATGGAGGTGCCAGTCAGCACTGGTCAGGCCGGCCGCTGGGTCTTGCTGTGCCCGCCGCTTCCTGCCACCCTTGCATTTTCTTCTCTTAGGGCCACTGGTGTGTCTCACCTGGAACCTTCTCACCAACAGCCCATCTGTTACTTCACAGATCCTGCCATGCAGGAGCCGTGCACAGCTTGGCTGAGGTCTCTGCCAGGGTCTCCTGGGGCTGCCATTCAGCTGTCCTGGGCTCCAATCTCCTGTGGAGCTTGAGGTCCGTCCCCGACCATTCAGGCTGTGGAGGGATTTCCATCCTGCGGCTGTGGGGGTCAGGCCCTCAGCCTCCAGGGGTAACTCAGAGGCCTGTGCCTCTCCTGCTCCTTTTGTCAGGAGACTGGGAGTCCTTCCTTTCCGTGTCACCTGTGTCCTGGCTCCGTGTCCACTTGCTTCAGTTGACCCACGGCCTCTTCTCTGAACAATGGTTCTCTTTCTCTGAGTTCTTTTTATTTTGTTTGGTTTGGTTTGGTTGATTGGTTTTGAGACAGGGTCTCACTCTGTCACCTAAGCTGGAGTGCAATGGCGTGATCTCGGCTCACCGCAATCTCCACCTCCCGAGGTCAAGTGATTCTCCTGCCTCAGCCTCCCAAGTACCTGGGATTACAGGTGGACACCACCACACCCGGCTAATTTTTGTATTTTTAGTAGAGACGGGATTTCACCATGTTGGCCAGGCTGGTCTCAAACCCCTGACCTCAAGTGATCCACCTGCCTCGGCCTCCCAAAGTGCTGGGATTACAGGCGTGAGCCACTGTGCCTGGCCCAGCTGTCTTTGTTTTTAAGGGGTGCCTTGGTAATTTCTTCATCATACTTTTTTTTTCAGGGTAGCAGGTAAGGGACTCAGTGGATAGGCTCATGGAGACAGTCCTTGAAGGCCTGGTATTCTAACACGCGACTACTTTATTTTATTTATTTATTTTTTTGAGACGGAGTCTCGCTCTGGAGTGCAGTGGCGAAATCTTACTGCATCCTCCACCTCCTGGGTTCAACCGATTCTCCTGCCCCAGCCTCCCGAGTAGCTGGGACTAACGCAATCACCACTACGCCTGGCTAATTTTTTTTTTTGCGGAGACTGGGTTTCACTATGTTTGCCAGGCTGGTCTCGAACTCCTGACCTGGAGTGATCCTCTTGCCTCGACCTCCCGGAGTTCTGTGATTACACGCGTAAGCTCCCTCGCCAGCCTAGACTCGGCTACTTTTGGATCAAGAAATCCAGAAGTTTCTAGACTGTGAACTTGCTCTTTACCATGGACATTCACCACCTGCAACTTCCCAGGGGTTCTCTGTCTCGCCCCACACTGTGAGGACCCCCTTACCAAACAGAATTCCAGGGTGCTGGCTCTTCGCGGGATCTGAGCTATTCGCCGGCGTCCTGAGTTGCTTGGGTTCACTCCCCCACCCTCGTGTCCCTGCCTGAGTCCTGCCTCGTGTTTTCGATTCTGTTTGTCAGGGGCCTTAGCGTGGGGCTTCTCTGTGGGAGAGCAGGAGGGAAGCGGTGAGGGGCGATTCCGGAGGAGGCAGAGCCCCAGGTGTCCGTGGGAAGCTCCAAGGCCGGGCCACGGGACGGCCACCCTGGGCTGTGACACAGTCCAGCATCTTCGCTAAGGCACCTGCTGGAGGCTCCGCCTGGGTCCCAGGACCCTGACTGCGCCGGGCGGCTGCCAGCGAGGAGGCGGGGCCGAGGCGAGGGCGGGGCCGAGGTGGGGGGCGGGGAAGGAGGGGGGGGTCTGTCTGATGGGCGGGGCTTCTGGATGGGCGGGGCTGCCGGCTCTGAGGTCTGAGCCGGGCTCCCGGCAGAGGAAGCTGACGACTCCTAGAGGCTCAGTGCGCGAGCCCGAAGTTAGGCCTGGAAAGGGGGCCCCTCCTTCCCAGTTCTGGTGGATGGGGAGTGAGGGGAAGGACAAAAGCGGCACAGGGAATAGCATGACACGGGCCCGGGGCAGGGCGCATTTGGAAAGGGGCGAGGAGAGGACAGTGGCCTCCGGCACGGCGGCAGTGGGCCTGGAGAGGCAGTGGGACCCCGTCGCGAAGAGCCTCCGCCCGGCGTAAGGAGCCGGGACTGTCTAGGAGGCAGTGGAGGCTCCGGAAAGCCAAGCGCCTCCCGCCCAGGCTCGCGTGCTTGGAGTACCGGAGACTGCAGAGCAAGAGAGGGTCTTCAGAAGACCCACGACGTTCCACCGGGATGCGGAGGGGAACGGTTATTTGTACTTCTACATCATCTCTTTTGGGGGTGTATGTGTGTTGGGGGGGTGTGTGTGGTGGTGGTGTTTTGCGACAGAATCTGTGTCACCCAGGCTGGAGTGCAGTGCTGATCTCGGCTCACTGCAGCCTCTGCCTCCTGGGCTCAAGTGATCCCCCCGCCTCAGCCTCCCGAGTACCTGGGACCACAGGCGCCTGCCACCACGCCCGGCTAATTTTAAAAAAAAATTTTTTTAGTCGACACAGCGGTCTGTGTTGCTCAGGCTGGTCTGAAACTCCTGGACTCAAACCATCCTGCCGCCTCGGCCTCCCAAAGTGCTGGGATTACATTCATGAGCCACTGCGCCCACCCGGTCTAAGTGTTTTATTTATTTATATTTATTTATTTTTTTGAGACAGAATCTTGTTCTGTCGCCCAGGCGGGAGTGCAGTGGCGCAATCTCAGCTCACTGCAAGCTCTGCCTCCCGGGTTCACGCCATTCTCCTGCCTCAGCCTCCCGAGTAGCTGAGACTACAGGCACCGCCACCACGCCCGGCTAATTTTTTTTGTATTTTTAGTACAGACGGGGTTTCACCGTGTTAGCCAGGATGGTCTCGATCTCCTGACCTCGTGATCTGCCCGCCTCGGCCTCCCAAAGTGCTGGGATTACAGGAGTGAGCCACCGCGCCGGGTCAAGTGTTTTACATGTTTTACAACAGCTTCTAATTTGTTACAAATAAACGTGCAGCATGTGGTGGGAGTGTTCAGGTGTTTACTGGTGCAGTGCGCAGGGAACGTGGTTCCAGGCGCGAGATGCGGAGGCCCAGAGGCAGAAGCCCCGTGGCGGCAGCGCGCGCAGGCGCGCAGGGGACTGTCGGAGGAGCAGGCGGGGACCTGGGCTCCCAGGGCTGTGCTCCCCCACCCCCCCCCCGCCCCAGGTCCAGTTCCAGGGGCGCGTCTGGCCCTTTGTTGCTGTCTTATTAGGGTTCTTTCATGGGGGTCGGTTCTTAATTCTTTCTTTTCTCCCCAGAGAGGGTCTACTTGTTGTAAGAGGGAAGAGTCCACACCGCAGCAGTACACTTTGCACACATGATGAAAAGCGTCACTTTTGCAGCATTCCAGCTGGAGATGCGTGACCTTCAGTCTGCGGCGGGCAGCAGGGCGAGAGGCTTGGACAGGAGGTGCATCTTGCCCGGGGAAGGCTGAACGAATGAGAGCTCGGTCCCTGGTGAGAAAGAGCCCAGAGCATGCGAGAGGCGGGCAGCAAAGGCTTCTCTGCAGCGGAGACGCGAGGGCGGCGACCTGCAGGGAGGCGGGGGCAGCGCCTGGGGCGCTCCAAGCTCTCGACCCCAAGGAAGCCCACGCTCGAGACCCGCGTGCTGCCACAGCCCCGGGGGCCTGGAGGGGTCCGTGCGCCGAGCGGAGGACCCGGGACAAGGGCGGGGCGCTGCGGGGAACGGAAGGGAACGCGCGTGGTCTCCCCACCGCGGGCCTTCGACGCCTCCTGACACGTACTGCGGGCGCCCGGGTCCGGTCCTCAGTTGGTTCGAGCCGAATCCCGGCGCGCCAACGGCTCGACCTTGCCCGCCACGAGGCGGGGCTTCCTGCCCGGCAGGAAGGACTCGGCTGGCGCCTGCGGGCAACCGTAGAGCTGAAGGCGCCGCGGCTGGGCCGTCCCGCTCTCCGGGGCCGCCGAGCGCACTGTCCTCCCGCGGCCCAGAGCGTCACCGGAAGTGCCTGGGGGCGGGCCAGAAGTGGGGACTGCGGCGCTTCCGGCGCGCGGCGGGGCGGAGACCGTAGCGGGTGCAGTCCAGCTGTCCTGGATGCCGCGGCGACGGCTATTCTTGCTCTGGCGTCGATTCGGGAGGGTCAAGGAGCGGCAGAGGGAACGGGGCTGGCACCGCCGTCCTGGCCGGCGTGTCCTGCACTCCCCTTGCAGCGCAGGCCCCAGCCGCTCTCGGGCGCGGCGTGGAGGAGGCGGCCCTGCAGGTGCATTCCCGGGGTGCCGACGCATGCGGGGCTTCCTGTGAGCTGAGTTCCCCCCGCGCGTCTTCAGGCCTTTGTAAGTTGTCAAATTTCCCACCGGCCCAGCTAATCGAGCCTCCTCCCAGCTGTGAACAGGAGAGCCTGTTACCTAATTCTTGCCGGTAAGGTACTTTCAAAAATCTGCTTCCAGACTAAAAAATTGCACTTTAAATACCTTTTTGCAAAATAGGCGGGGTCTCGCTTTGTTTCCCAGGCTGGCCACCTACTCCTGGGCTCAAGCGATCCTCCCGCTCAGCCTCTCTGGCAGGCGGGATTACAGGCGGCTTAAATTAAATTTACTAATTAATTACTTTTTATTTACTTATTTTTTTAAGACAGGGTCTCCTTCTATCGCCCAGCTGGAGTACAGTGGCGAAATCTCAGTTCACCCCAGCCTAGACCTGGGCTCAGGCAATCCTCCCACCTCAGCCTCCCTAGTAGCTGGGACTACAGACGCCTACCATCACACCTGGCTAATTTTTTAATTTTTTGTAGAGACGGGGTCTCATTATGTTGCCCAGGCTGGTCAGGAACTCCTGTACTCAGTCCTCCATCCCGAGCCTCTTGAAGTGCTAGGATTGCAAGTGTGAGCCACAGCACCCAGCCAAATTACACTTCTTAATTGCACTTGAGGTGAGACCCCCCAAAAAATGTATTGCTTACTGGTTTTTCTTCTTGGTGAATTACATATTCATGATCTTTGCCAATTTTCCTTCGTTTCTTATTTAGAGGTCTTTATCAGATAGGGATGAATCTTTGCATTGCACGTATTTCCCCTTTTTTGTTTTTGTTTTTTTACATTAAATTTTTTTATGTAGTTAAATTTGTCAGACATCTGATGTCAGGCTTAGAAAAATCATTCCTCAGTCCAAAACTTTACCATTCAAATGATTTGTTCTTTTTTTCTGGTTTAACATTTTTGTATTCAAATCCTTACAACTACCAAGAAAATTTTAAAATCCATGGGAATTTCTCTAGCTATTTGAAGACTGCTGGAGGGCGTGAGCTTGCTCAGCATGGAGCTAGGAAGCTGTGGCCATGCCCACCTGTGCTCTGTGTCAGCCCTGGGTCGAGGGGAACCGACAGAGCCTGGACCAGAGTTCCCCGGCATCCCGCAGAACACCGCTTCTGGGAGTGACTGTTGAGCCAGGACCTTGATTGCCAGTGACAGGGGTGGGCCCACCTGGGTGTTGCAGCTCCCACAGGGCCTATTCTGACCGTCTCCTCTGAAGGCATTCTGACCTCACTGCCCCGGCCCCTGTACCTAGCCCTGGCTGCAATTTATTTTCCTTTTCTTTTACCTCAGCAGAAATTGTTCTGACTGCTGGCGTTCTGCAAGGTGGAGCCAGGAGGAGAGCCCCCAGGTGCCAAGGAGAGCAGTGCCCTGATGGAGGCCCTTGCAGGTGAGGGGACACGTCCACAGTCGGGCCCAGAGTTCCAGGACAGGAATTGAACAGGAATACAGGAAAAACACCATGTCTCGGTCACTGGCGCAGAGCATATACTGTGTCCTCGGGCGCAGGGTGAGGGAGGGAGGTAAATGCAAGCCCATCAGATCTCCTGGGCATCTGTTTGGTGACTGTCTTTGCCAGTGAACTGAGAGCTTTTGGTTAGAAAATCTGGCAGCCCCAGGCTCTGCCTCTGGGAAGGTCTGGCTCAGTGCTTCTCAGCCTTGGCACTGTGGCTGTTTTGGAATGGATGAGTCTTTGTTGAGGGGCCGTTGTGTGCATTGTGGGAGGTTCAGCAGCACCCTCGCCTCTGCCCACTTGCTGTCAGTAGCGCCCCCTCCCAGTTGTGACAACCATAAACATCTCCACACATTGTCAAATGTGCCCTTGGGACAGAATCACCCACAAGAGAACACTGTTTTATGTTTTGGGGCCACCCTGAGAGTGTGTCACAGCGACAGGCGGGAGGTGGGGTGGGTAGTGCAGGCCCTGCTATGGGGTCTGGGATTGCCTCCATTGGAAAGGCATCCTCAGGGCCTGCAAGCTGGATCCAGTAGAGCTCCACCGTGTATGTGGCCCCTTCTCATTGTAGTTTTGGTTCTTTTTCCTCATAAGCAATACCTTTGAGTCAGTTCTTGAACTTCCAAGTCTGCAAACCACACAAGACCAGGGCTGGCCTCTGCCAAGGGGCTTCTGTTCTGCGCACCACCCTGAGCCTCTCCCACGCCCTGGCTGCTCAGTGTCATGGGTCTGCAAGGGCAGAGAGAGGTGGGGACTGTTGACAGCAGCCTGCTCTCATCTGCCCTGGAACATCCCTGCCCCACCCCCACCTCCACAGGAGTTTCCATCACATCTGCACCCTCCACATTCTTGAAAGGTGCAGCCGGGACTCAGCCGCTTCTCTTCCGTTGCCACAGCAGACTGCCTGCAGGCAGAGAAGTCCCGCTCAGTTGCTGTGCTGGTCTCGGGGGCTCCTGTCCTCCCACTGCCGCTCCTGGCTGAGCCCTCCTGCCTCCTATGCAGGCCGAGGTCAGTAGCCAGCTTTCTCACGTCCCAGAGTTTCATCCCTACCCCTTAAGCCTTTTTTCTAAATGGCCACATGGTCTGTCCCTGTGAGCCAGAGGAACCAAATCTAACCAGTGGCTTCACTGTCAGACAAGGACCACTGATAATGCAGCCTGGTCGGGGCTGCTCAGCCCGGTCAGCGCCACTGCCCAGCCACATGGGTTGCTGCTTCCAGCTCTTAGTCCGGATTTTTTTTTTTTTTTTCTTTTTTTTTAAAGACAAAGTCTTGCTCTGTCACCAGGCTGGAGTGCAGTGACACAAGCTCACTGCAGCCTCCACCTCCTGGGTTCAAGCGATTCTTCTGCCTCAGCCTCTCAAGTAGCTGGGACTACAGGTGTGCGCCACCACGCCCGGATAATTTTTGTATTTTTAGTAGAGACGGGGTTTCACCATGTTAGCCAGGATGGTCTTCATCTCTTGACGTCGTGATCTGCCCGCCTTGGCCTCCCAAAATGCTGGGATGACAGGCATGAGCCACCATGACCGGCCTCTTGGTCCGGATTCTGAGTGAGGACACTCCCGTTTGCACGTAACAGAAGCTCCTAGAGTTTGGTGTTTGGGGGGAGTTGTTAAGGAGGCCACGTTGTCTCAGGGAGTCCAAGGTGAAAGGAATGAGCTGGGGCCATGGCTGGGTGTGGTGGCTCACACCTGTAGTCCCAGCACTTCAGGAGACCGAGGTGGGAGGAGGGTTGAACCCAGGAGTTCAAGAGCAGCCTGGGCAACACATTGACACACTGTCTCTACAAAAAATTTTAGAACTAGCCTGGTGTGGTGGTGCTCACCTGGAGTCCCACCTACTTGGGAGGCAGAGGGAAGATCGCGTGAGCCCTGGGGCTGCAGTGAGCCACGATGGCACCACTGCTCTCCAGCCTGGGTGATAGAGCAAGACCCTGGCTCACAAAAAAGGGAGGAGGGACAGACAGAAGGCAGAGCTGGGCCATGGGCTCTGTTGGGTGCCACCATCCCCACGCCTCCTGCGGCGTCTGCCTCGCTCCTGTCCTGGCTTGCTGCCAGCAGTCTCCAGCCTCTTTTGCTTTCCCAGCTGCCCTGCAGAGTAAGGCAGTGCCCAGAGCCTGCGTTTCTGTCCCCAGGACTGGGTGGGCTGAGACTGGAGGTTTAGCCCCACTTCTAGCCCCATTTAGCCTCGTTTCTGTATGTGTGTGTATTTATTTATTTATTTATTTAGAGATGGAGTCTCGCTCTGTCACCCAGGCTGGAGTGCAGTGGCGCGATCTCAGCTCACTGCAAGCTCCGCCTCCCGGGTTCACGCCATTCTCCTGCCTCAGCCTCGTGAGTGAGTAGGTGGGACTACAGGCGCCCGCCACCTCGCCCAGCAATTTTTTTATGTGTTTAGTAGAGACGGGGTTTCACTGTGTTAGCCAGGATGGTCTCGATCTCCTGACCTTGTGATCTGCCCGCCTTGGCCTCCCAAAGTGCTGGGATTACAGGCTTGAGCCACCGCACCCAGGCTTCTGTGTGTATATTTTTTAAATTCTATATTTTTTTAAGAGACAGGATCTCACTGTGTTGGCCAGGCTGGTCTCAAATTCCAAGTCTCAAGTGGTCCTCCTGCCTCAGCCTCCCAAAGTGCGGGGATTACAGGTGTGAGTCACCACGCCCAGCCCCACAGCCCCGTTTCTAGAGTGGCAGTGCAGGACTCTCATCCACCTCATAACCACAGGGGTTAAGAAGGTGGGGAGGAGAAAAAACTAGGCGGGCAAAATCAAAGGTGTCTTTGGAACACTGATGTCACCATCACCGTCATTGTCCTGTCGTCACCACGATTGCCAGAGCCACCCTCGACTCACATTCTCTTGCATCTAAAATCGTTACTGTCCGAACTCTTTTTCAGTTGTGAAGGCTGCTTTCCTGGCGCAGGCCCCAAGTGGCAGCCGATCAGCTGAGGTGCAGGCAGCTCGGAGTACGGAGCCTGCACCAGAGCCAGGCGCTCCCGAGGGAGAGGGCCACAGAGGGGGGCCTCCCCGGGCGCTGGGGTCTCTTGGCCTTTGTGAAAACGAGGAAGCCAGACAGAGGCCCAGAGGTTCCCCTCGAGGTCCGGTCATTTCTGAGAAAGCTGGAGGACAGAGTGGCCGCGAGTCAGACGTCCCTCCGAACTTAGGCCCGGGAGCAGAGGGCAGGGGCGGCTGGAAGGGGCGGCCTTTCCCGTGCAGCGCCTGTGGCCGCAGCTTCAAGTGCTCCTCGGACGCCGCGAAGCACCGGAGCATCCACTCGGGGGAGAAGCCGTACGAGTGCAGCGACTGCGGGAAGGCCTTCATCCACAGCTCGCACGTGGTCCGACACCAGCGGGCGCACAGCGGGGAGAGGCCCTATGCGTGCGCCGAGTGCGGCAAGGCCTTCAGCCAGAGCTTCAACCTCCTCCGGCACCAGCGCGTGCACACGGGCGAGAAGCCCTACGCGTGCGCCGACTGTGGCAAGGCTTTCGGCCAGAGGTCGGACGCCGCCAAGCACCGCCGCACCCACACCGGGGAGAGGCTGTACGCGTGCGGCGAGTGCGGGAAGCGCTTCCTGCACAGCTCGAACGTGGTCCGGCACCGGCGGACCCACCACGGGGAGAACCCGTACGAGTGCCGGGAGTGCGGCCAGGCCTTCAGCCAGAGCTCCAACCTCCTCCAGCACCAGCGCGTGCACACGGGGGAGCGGCCCTTCGCCTGCCAGGACTGCGGCCGCGCCTTCAGCCGCAGCTCCTTCCTCCGCGAGCACCGCCGCATCCACACCGGGGAGAAGCCCCACGAGTGCGGCCACTGCGGGCGCGCGTTCCGGGCGCTGTCGGGCTTCTTCCGGCACCAGCGGCTCCACACGGGCGAGAAGCCGTTCCGCTGCACCGAGTGCGGCCGCGCCTTTCGCCTGAGCTTCCACCTCATCCAGCACCAGCGGGTGCACGGCGCCGAGTGAGCCGGGGCTGCCGCTGAAGAGATGCCAGCGGCTTGGTGGGCGTAAGGCCGAGGCCGGGTGAGTCCTGTCCGCACCATGCACGGTGAGGAAGTAACAACCGGCTGCTCGCCTGGTTCTCGGGCTGCAGAAGCCTCGCCCAGCCTGCATCTGCCTTGGCTCGGGAGCAGTCAGGAGAGACAGGGCTCGGCGAAGGTGAGCGCTGCCCATGGGAGGCGATTCCCAGAGGCGGGGAGGTCTCAGGCCGGCCGCCCGCTGCTGAGACGCCTCCCCTCCCGCGGTCAGCTGCAGCGAAGGTCTCATCTGCTGGGGTGTAGTGGCCGGTGATTGAATGGGTCATTCCTACGCAGCCAGGTTGGTCAAGGCGGGCTGGGGGGGGTGCAGTTAGGAAGGGGGCCTCACGCCCTCCCCCCGTACCTTGCCGGCAAGCAGTTCATCCATGTCTTTCAACGCCTTTTCACAGCTGGTTGCTATGGTCCCGAGTTCTGTGTGCTTAGAAAATTATGGAACTTGGCCGGGCGCGGTGGCTCCTGCTTGTAATCCCAGCACTTCGGGAGGCCGAGGCAGGCGGATCACGCAGTCAAGAGATCGAGACCATCCTGACCAACATGGTGAAACCCTGTCTCTACTAAAAATACAAAAAGCCGGGCGTGGTGGCGCGCGCCTGTAATCCCAGCTGCTCGGGAGCCTGGGGCAGAAGAATCGCTTGAACCCGGGTGGCGGAGGCTGCAGTGAGCTGAGATTTCGCCACTGCACTCCAGCCTGGGCGACAGAGCGAGATGCCATCTCAAAAAACAAAAAATTATGGAACCTGAGAAGGGGGTCGTGGGGACCCCAGGGCCCACTGTCTGCACTTGGCATCTGAAGTGGGGGTGGTCTTGTGGGACTGACCCCTTACCCTGTGGGTTCTGCACTAACTCCGGGTTCTGCACTAACTCTTGGTGTCAGAATCGAGTTAAATCGAAGGACATCTCGTTGGTGTCTGAGAGTTGGAGAGCTGGTTGGTATGGAGGGAAAGGCTCACAGCCACGTGATGTCAGAAGGGTTCTGTGGGTAGAGGAATCGTTTTGTCTTTGAGACTGTTATGAGTATGTACAAATGTTATTTCCTGTAAAATATTTTCATTTTTTAAAATGTTATTTCCGAGATAGAAAAGTGGAGGTGTCTGTTTGGGGAACGTTTTTGGGTGCGTATAGTAAAGCACGGTCACCATGAATTAAGCCAGGTGGGCTTTGAGTTTGTTGGGAGGACTGAGGGAAATGTGAGCCGCCCACTGGCCGTGAGCCCTGGGGCGTGGTTGCAGGATTCACCCATCCTGGTCTGGCTGTGGCTTGGGACCACCTCCTGCAGTTCTCTGCCCCAGGTAAGGACTGATTGGGAATAATTCTGGGTCCTGAGCTGGCTGCCACTTCCAAGACAGTCGCTTTGAGGGCTCTTGTTGGCACCCATTTCGTTAAAATGCATGAGCTTAGGGTTGTGCAGCCTGTACGGGCAGGGGTGCTCTCAGAGTGGATGTGGTGGCCCCACAGTTCATTAAGCTCCTGACTCCTGGGCCAGTGGTGAGGTGGGAAGATGAGCCTGTGTCTCCCGTGCTGAGCCAAGACCCTCAGGCCAGCTGAAGGTGACCTTCCAGGTACCAGTAGAGGTCAAAGCACCTGCTTTCTGAAGGAAGTTTACCCAGCTTAGCCTCATCCCTGCTCGTAAGTCAGCCATTCAGCTTGCAGTCAAAGATCCGCAGGCACACAAGGAGAGTCAGCTGACTGAGGGCCAACAGCAACAGCAGGCAGCTGCCGTCAGCCACAAAGAAAGGCAGATCCTGAAACTGTCATCATACAGGTGAGAGGACAGTTATGTGTGAGGCGCAGTGACGGTGATGAGAAAGCTGTAGGGTACATATTGTCACCTGTGAATAGGCAGGACTTCTTAAAGAACTTTTGGAAATGAAAAATAGGCTAGACGCAGTGGCTCATGCCTATAATCCCAACACTTTGGGTGGCCTAGGAGGGAGGATCACTTGAGCCCAGGAGTTCAAGACCAGCCTAGGCAACGTAGTGCTGGGCACGGTGGCTCACGCCTGTAAGCCCAGCACTTTGGCAGGCTGAGGCAGTGGATCACCTGAGGTCAGGAGTTTGAGACTATCCTAGCCAACATGGCAAAACCCCATTTCTACTAAAAGTACAAAATTAGCTGGGTCTGGTGGCCCATACCTGTAATCCCAGCTACTCAGGAGGCTAAGGCAGGAGAATCCCTTGAACCTGGGAGGCAGAGGCTGCAGTGAGCCGAGATCACGCCATTGCACCCCAGCCTGGGTAAAAAGAGCAAAACTCCATCTTAAAAAAAAAAAGGAAAATGATCTGAGTGATGGTCTTAAATATAAGATGGAATGGCAAGCAAAATTATGAATATATATGTATGTATAAAAGAATAATGTCAACTAAAATTCTGGACAACAATAGCATGTAAATTGGAAGGGATAGAAATGTTCTAAGACCCTCCTGTTGTTGGGAAGCGGGTGTAAGACTGTTTAATTTGACTTTGATAAGTTAAATGTGCATAGTGTAATTTAATGTTAATTACTAAAAGAGTGTAACCAGTCTATACATCTCTAATCCAATAAAAAGAATAATTTAAAATGTAATTTAAAATGTAGTCCCAGCTGCTTGGGAGACTGAGGCAGGAGGATCTCAGTTTGGATCCTCAGACCAGGAGTTTGAGGCAGCAGTGGGCTATGATTGTGCTGCTGTACTCCAGACTGGACAACACAGTGAGATCCCATAAAATAAATAAATGAAACAAACACAAACTTCTGTCAATTAAAAAATAAGAAAAGAAAAATCAGGCTGGGCCTGAGCGCTGTGGCTCACACCTGTAATCCCAGCACTTTGGAGGCCGAGGTGGGTGGATTGCTTAAGCCTAGGAGTTCGAAACCAGCCTGGGCAACATAGGGAGAACCTGTCTCTACAAAAAAATACAAAAAGTAAGCTGGGCATGGTGGTGTATGCCTGTAGTTCCAACCACCCAGGAGGCTGAGGTGGGAGGATCACCTGAGCCTGGGAGCTCGAGACTGCAGTGAGTCGTAGTCACGCCACTACACTCCAGCCTGGGCAACAGAGTGAGACCCTCTCTCAAAAAAAAAAAATCAGAAACAAACTGGGCAAATTAAGATGACGGAAACAAAACTAAATATGTCCCTAACCACAGTAAGCTGTATGGAATTGCCGGTTAACAGGTAAAGGTTAGGGCCGGGCGCAGTGGCTCATGCCTGTGATTCCAGCACTTTGGGAGGCTGAGGTGGGTGGAACACCTGAGGTCAGAGGTTCGAGACCAGCCTGGCCAACATAGTGAAACCCCATCTCTACTAAAAATACAAAAATTAGCTGGTTGTGGTGGTGCATGCCTATAATCCCAGCTACTCGGGAGGCTGAGACAGGAGAATGGCTTGAACCTGGGAGGCGGAGGTTGCAGTGAGCCAAGATCGCGCCACTGCACTCCAGCCTGGGTGACAGAATGAGACTCTGTCTCACAGACACAGGTAAAGGCTAGGAGGAAAATCCATGACCCAGAGTCACACACATGAAGACACACAGGAGGGAGGTGTGAGTCAACCAAGGGGAGGAAAGGCAAGCTCAGGTGCCTCAGAGGTGGGAGGCAGTCATGTGCCATGTGAAGCCCAGAACATTGTTTTAAAAAGGAAACTCAAAAATAACGATGGGCCAGGTGCAGTGGCTCACGCCTGTAATCCCAACACTTTGGGACACCCAGGCGGGCTATCACTTGAAATCAAGAATTCGAGACCAGCCTGGCTAACATGACAAAACTCCATCTCTATTAATAATACAAAAATTAGGCAAGTGTGGTGGTGTGCACCTGTAATCCCAACTACTTGGGAGGTTGAGGCACAAGAATCGCTTGAACCTGGGAGGCGGAGGCTGCAGTGAGCTAAGATCCCACCACTGACTCCAGCCTGGGTATCACTCAGACTCAGTGAGACTCCACCTCAAAAAAAATTAAAAAAAAAATTAAAATGGTATCTTAGAATGGAAATGTGATAGGCAAAATTAAATTAGCAAGAAGGTGGAAAGTGGAGAAAATCTGTTTGAAAGAATGAAAAGATAAGGTGGGTGATAGGATAAATTAAGACTAACAGGAATTCCAAGGGGGGAAAAGCAGAAACAGAAGATGGTGGGAATGAAGTTTAGAGAAATAATTTCCCCCCAGAACCGAGAAACATGAATCTCCAGAGTAAAAGCACTTACCGATATCCCGCACAAAGATGGAAGAAATTACCTATATCCAGGCATGACGTGAAACATCGGACAGCCCGGGACATACAGACGATCTGAGAGCGCAGATCACACAGAGGCTGAGAAATAAATCCCTTCCCAAGGGCAAATTGGAAGTTAGAAAACATCGAAACAATGCTTCGAAAATTACGAGTGAAAATAATTTGCAACCTAGGATTTTATACCTACCCAAGTGGTCAGTCAAGTGTGATGGTATGACAGCATTTTCAGATATGCAAACTCTAAGTTTTAAAAATTCATTTTCATAATACATGTTTTCAGGAGCCTACTAAAGGAGGAGCTCCAAATCAAGGGAGTAAACCAAGAAAGAGGAAGAAGTGGGGCCGGCCACTGTGCTGTAATCCTAGCACTTTGGGAGGCTGAGGCGGGCGGATCACTAGATCAGGAGTTCAAGACCAGCCTGGCCAATATGGTGAAACCCTGTCTCTACTAAAAATACAAAAATTAGTTGGGCGTGATGGTGCGTGCCTGTAGTCCCAGCTACTCAGGAGGCTGAGGCAGGAGAATCGCTGGAACCTGGGAGGTGGAAGTTGCAGTGAGCCAAGATTGCACCACTGCACTCCAGCCTGGCAACACAGCAAGAATCCGTCTGAAAAAAAAAAAAACAAAAAAGGAAGAAGTGGAATCTTGTAAACGGGATTAGTGGTGAGGCATCCCCACGTGACAGCGGAGCCCCAGGGCTGGGCAGAGAGAGCTGCGTGTCCTGGGACAGTCTGAAATTTCCCACGGTCCACTCTGGAGCCACAGTGACTTACTTTCCTTCCACCAGTAAAATATGCTCGCCACCCCGCAACTCAAGCCACCCAGAGGTCTGTTCCTGCTGCTGTCTCAGCTCAGAGGCTGTCAGCTCATGATTCTCCTCTGGTCCGGATATA